GGTTATTATTTTCCTATAGTTATTATTTTCCTATGGTTATTATTTTTCTATAGTTATATTCTTTATTTCATCACCGCCGGTTCCTAGAGCTTGTTGAGAGGGAGCAGCAGGTCGTTGTCAGACGTCACTTCTTTACACGACTTATTGAAAACAGCTCCTGTGTAAGTTGCGGGGTCCTCCCTGCGAACGATGCGGCGTGTTAGACGTCAGGCTGTGCGTGCGTGTTCGTGCCTTTACTGTAATAAACTGCACGAGGCGAGACGTTTGCTGAAAGAACTTTAAATGAGAAACTTACGATTTGTAAATAAACACCACTATAAATCCAGCTCAAAGCAACTGTTCATAACTTTTATAAAAAGCTTTGGGAAAGAGAACATGTAAACATCTTACCTGTTGCAGATAGCTCTTAGAGAGTTTATTATCAATAATTTATTTTACAGATCAGTTAAAATAAACCTACCATGCTCTGTTCAGCAACATGCACAGTATGGCTCCCTGCTTCTACTGTGCCGAAAGTGAAACTTAAGTGATCGACCATGACTGAAAGTAGTCTTCGTGCGCCCTCTGCTGGATGCATTGTACAATTACAGCTTGGGCAAGTAAGGACATGACTCATTCCCAGTTTTTATATCGGCGCATAATGGGACCATTATCACAAATACCAATATGTCCCCAAACACCTATATTGGCCTAAAATATCGGCCCTACTGATATATATCGGCCAGACTATTGACAAATACATCATGTAGAAACTGTTCAGCAACACTTTATGATTAACAACAATAACACAACAATGAAATGTTGTCAGGTTTATTTTTGACTGCTCTTTATAGAAAGGCGTGCTCTGCTTTGTTTTTCCACATGTTGCTCTTGTAGGCACACAATCTTTGCTAGCAACACGTCCTCTCTGCCCATCACTGACATCGCCAGCTCCACCAGCAGGCAGGACAGGTTTGGTGGTCTTCACTTCTTTAACCCAGTCCCCATGATGAAGCTCGTCGAGGTGAGGCCCATTATAAAATCTGTGTGTGCATTTTGTTGTTTTATCTGCAGCAGAAACAGATCTGCATCCATTTGTGCACAGAATATACATGACTCCATGCGTGTACGGAAGCCCAAAAGGCCAATTTTTATTTTAGATGGGATTTACCTAAAATCATCCATCCATCCATCCACCCATCCATCCACCCTTCCATCCAACCACCCATCCATCCAACCACCCATCCATCCAACCACCCATCCATTAACTTTACCTGCTTCATTTGGGGTCGCGTGCAAGGACCAATGCAGACATGTTCCTGTTTTTAGTTTTCTACATTTGCCTTATAATCTAGATGTTTGTTACTTTTTTTGCATCTTATTTGTAAAAAAAAAAAAAAATCTTTATGTCTTTTTATAACTGTCCATTGTTGTCATCATTCTTTGTTGAAATCAGGTCTCTCTTGTACAAACAGGATTCCAAAAAAGTTGGGACACTAAACAAATTGTGAATAAAAACTGAATGCAATGATGTGGAGATGGCAAATGTCAATATTTTATTCGTAATATAACATAGATGACAGATCAAAAGTTTAATCTGAGTAAATGTAACATTTTAAAGGAAAAATATGTTGATTCAAAATTTCAGTGTCAGAGTGGCCCAAAGCACAAGGAGTGGCCCAAAACACAGAGTGGCCCAAAGCACGAGGAGTGGCCCAAAGCACGAGGAGTGGCCCAAAACACAGAGTGGCCCAAAGCACGAGGAGTGGCCCAAAGCCTGAGGATTGGCCCAAAACACGAGGAGTGGTCCAAAACACACAGTGGCCCAAAGCACAAGGAGTGGCCCAAAGCACGAGGAGTGGCCCAAAGCCTGAGGATTGGCCCAAAACACGAGGATTGGCCCAAAACACGAGGAGTGGTCCAAAACACAGAGTGGCCCAAAGCACGGGGAAATGTCCAAAACACGGGGAAATGCCCAAAACACAGAGTGGCCCAAAGTACCTTGGACTGGTGCACAAGTCTCTGAGCTACAGAAAAAATAATAATTCAGAAACAATCACTGATTTTCATTCAGTTGCAGTAATTTTTATTTATTTATTTCAGTTTCAACATATTTCATTGACTTTAGTGGATTTTTCTTTATTTAACAATCGTATACAAATGTCTGCATCTGGTTTTAATGTCTTTAGTGACGAGTGTTTTTTTATTTAGCTCAGCTTACCTACTTGGAGATAATGAAACAACTTCTTTAGAGGCCTCTCTGGCCTTCTGTACATCAGCAAATATGCAGGAGGATTCACATCTTTTTTTATTGGTCACTTGTTCATGGTTTTTTCTGTAGTCTTGATCAAATAGAACAGAAGCCAAAAGGCTTTATTTGAAAAATGTAACATGTCTAAATAAATTTCAGTAGAATTGAAAAATCAATATTTTAGATGTTAAATAAATATAAACTGTTTTCATTCAATCTGTATAAAATAAAATAATTTCATGTTCATTTGAAACTTACTTGTAGCTTAAGCTGAAAAGCTTTTTTAACGGTATAAATAACTCAAATCCAACATAATGACGCTCCGCAGGTTGTTGGAACGTCAGCAACGAGTCGAGAGACGTTTGATTCCCTCCTGAACTTCAGCAGGTCTCTTGGTAAGACAGCGGTCTCCTGCAAGGTGAGCTGAAGCTGGTTGTCCTGACAGAACACACTCGAGAGAAGCAACAGACGGACACAACAGGGCTGACGTTCACGTCTGCCCCAACTCCTCAAAGATGATCGTGTTGCTTTTATCGTTTGCTTTTCCTCCTACAGGACACACCTGGATTCATTGTAAATCGTCTGTTAGTTCCTTACATGATGGAGGCGGTCCGACTGTACGAGAGAGGTGGGGACAGAATTTATTTCAGCAAAGTTTCTCCAAAATGGTATATTTACTTTGTTTCCATTAGGTTCTCCATGCTTCTCCTACAGGTGATGGATCCAAAGAAGACATTGATATTGCTATGAAACTCGGAGCTGGGTATCCCATGGGGCCCTTTGAGCTCGGTGACTACGTGGGGCTGGATACAATAAAATTCATTATTGATGGTAAGACAAGTTAGACCATATCTAACAGTTTGTTTGTTTTTTTCATTTTTAACCTGCTAAGACCCAAACTCTTACACATGTGGGTGCCAGGTCCTAGGAGGTTCAACATACAACAAAGAACATAGAACAACCCCCACCCCTCCCACACGGGATCAGTCAAACATGCATAAACAAACTAAACAGGCATCGACATACCTTCTACATACAACACAAAGAGCCGCCAAGCGTCCCAAAATCTTTTGACAGAACCCTTCAGGGTAGATCTTGTTTTCGCCAAATGGATGTGGCACATCACCCCCCCCCCCCCCCCCACTCAATGTACATACACTGGGGGGTGTGGGTTCTTCCAGTTGCACAAAATTAGCCTGGCCAGAAGAGAGCCCAAAGCAATCGCATCCTCTCGAACTTGTTGAGGGACGTGTCCACAGGGACCACCCTGCACAGGGAGCTGAGTGGTGATGGGTGTACAGATCGGCACAGGTCCAGAATGTATGCAGTCGAGTCCGATACGAGTTCCTCCAAGTCCGTTTCCCATTTCACTTTAAGGGAGTCCAAACTGGTCTCGTGGTACGAACTGAACAATGTATAGATCGTGCTGAGGGCCCCCTTCCTATCAGACGTGCATTTCAAAATCTTAGCTACAAAATGTTTAGAGCGGTACAAAGGAAGTCAGAGTTAGATCTCACAAAATGTCTCAGCTGCAGATATCTGAAAATGATGATTTGTGAATATTAAACTTCTGTAGCAGCTGTTTAAAAGAGGAAAGTCTACCATCAACAAAGAGATCGCACAGTGAATGCGCTCCCCTCAAGACCCCGGAGTCAAAAACTGTATCAGCTCCTGAGGAGTGAACATATGATTATTTGACTCTGGTGCCAGAAACAGGAACTCTGTAGAGTTAAATGTCCTCCTGAACTGAATCCAAATCTTAACCGCCCTGGTTAAGCTGCACAACTGGGTTAAAAGTGGAGGTTGATATTGATGTTTAAAGAGCAGCCGAGAGCAGAGTCATGCAGAAAGAGTTGGATTTAACTGAGGCCTTCTCCAAGGTCACCCAACTAAAAGAAGGGCTGTCCTTACCCAACCAAACTAGAAGAGCTCTGATATTAGCTGCCCAATAATAGTGCATGAAGTTAGGAAGCGACGTGCCTCCAAGTCTGTGGGACACATACAAGACCTCTTGGCAATCCATGGATGCTTTTTATTCCAAATGAACGCTGATGTCTGGCTGTTCCGATTGGTGAAGGAGGACTTAGCAAATGAGGTTGGCAGATTCTGAAACAGGTATAAGAATTTAGGTCGAATATTCATTTTTACAGAGTTTATTCTGCCACCTAGAGTGTGAGGCAGGGATTGCCATCTAGCCATGACCTGTTTAAGGTTCGCCTTGAGAGCTAGAGAATTGGTTTTATAGAAGTTCTTATGATCTCGAGTTACCCAGATCCCTTGGTACTTACATTTTTTAACTAATTTTAAAAAGGTACAGTGTCCAAGATTTTTTTTTTCTATTATAGAGATCACAGGCATCAGCTCGCTCTTTTAAAGATTAACCTTATAACCAGATATTTTCCCAAATTTTTAAGCAAAGTAAGTAATACAGGGACACTGGTCAGGGGGTCTGATGTACACTAAAGCATGTTGTCTGCATATAAAGAAACTTTGTGCTCTGTGCCTAGTCTGTCTCCTTAATGATGGAGTTCTGCACAAAGTTACAGCCAGTGGTTCTATCGCCAACACAAATAGAAGTGGTGAGAGCGAGCACCCGTGTCTCGTAGCTCGCTGCTGTTCGAAACAGGAAGACATGTTACAGTTAGTGCGGACCGCCGCCATTGGGGAGGTACACATCCCGTGAAATGAATTTGGTACCAAATTTAAATAACTTTAAAGTCTCAAAGAGGTATATTTAACAATGTTTTGACAAAGTAGTTGTTGCTTGTGGTGTACCTCAAGGTTCAGTTCTTGGTCCAGTTGTATTTAATTTGTACATCCTTGTCCTTTTTCTGAATCAGGGGAGCTGCTTTTTGTATTTACATTCTAATGAAATGGAACACACATCATTTGGATATGATCAAAGCCTCAACTTTATATTTGAAAACCTTTATATTTGCACAGACGTATGACCCATACTGGCAAAATGAGTCAGAATGAATACAATGCAAAAAACATAAAAATACAGATTTTTGCCACAAGTATTTATTCTTTTTGTATTTGCTGTTAGCAGTTTTATAATTCTTCTTGTTACAGGTTTTGTCTGCTGCTTTTTTTTGTTATGAATTATGATGTGGAGTTTTTGTTCTTGTTGTAAAGCTTATTGAGAGTTGCTGTGGATGAAAGATCTGAACTTCTGCTTCTTCAGGTTGGAGCGCCTACAATCCTGACAACCCACTTTTTGCTCAGAGTGAATTGCTCAACAAGCTGGTTGCAGACGGCAAACTTGGCAGAAAGACTGGAGAGGGATTCTACAAGTATAAGTAATGACGTGTGTAGGTGTCGCTGTCAGAACATGTGAGAAACGAATTTAAAATGCTTTGTTTTCAGATGTCCTCTGAATCAGAATGCTTTGATTTTCCTTGTACAATGAAGTACATCATTTCTTTTCATTCAGCCGTCCTAAAGATGGACACAAGTGTACACGTGAATGATTTTCATCACATTCGATTAAAGACAGTTTTCAAAAACTGGTGCTGGTGCAGTGTTTGCAGAAGAACTTCGATTTACTTCCACTGTTCATATTAAGATGATGATTTTACGAAGTAACAAAGCTTAGAGTCTCAGACTAGAATAAATACACATTTAAATTTACCATCGTAAAAACATGAACACGTAGAGGCTGTCCTACTTTTGTCGAATTTCTTACACAATTTCAAATTGGGTACAACTGAAAAATGCAAGATTTAAGAAAATATATGTACTTGTTTTAAAGAAATCTACTGTAGTTGTTCTTTGCATTTAAATCCCTTTAAAAACAAACATTTAATGCATATTTGTTTCCCACTTTGAAGGCGATTAGTTTGATACTTCCCGTTGAGCTGGATGCAATTATTGTAAAGGTCTAAACACTAGAAGCTTTAACCTCCAAGAAGAACGTGCTGGAAAACATTGTTCAGAAAGAAAGCGTCCAGATGACCCGACTGAAAACTGATGGATTCTTCAGAAAGCTCAAGTGCAACAAGTTGGCCTGAAGAAGACCAAGAGGAAGGCTGCAGCCTCAAAAATGGCGTCTGCTACGTTTACATGTGCACAGTTCTTTGACTGGATTGAAATGTTTTCACATTAAATTGTTCAAATGTATCGTTTAAATGGGCACAATCCGTTCATGACGAGCGTTTACACGCAGCTGGCTTTGTTCTGGACCACTGACATGCACAGAGTGGTAAACTCTTAAAAAACCACAGAAGAAGAAGTTCTACTTCCGGTTTACTTCCGGGATGAACGTAAACAAAGCTGAGCACCAAAATGGACCCTGGACAGGTTTGAATGTCGGCGGAGACGTTGCTGCGCTCCCTGACCGAGCTGCAGGTGATGCACATCATCCTGAGCTCTTTCAACGTTTCTACAACAAAACAGTTTCACTTCCCCGACATGTTGGCGTCTGGCCAGGCGGAAACACGTGACGTGGACAGGTCGCACATGCGCAGTCAGGTCAGTTTCCCCTCAATCAGAATAAAGTGATCAGATTAAGGGTTCACATGCGCACTTGGATTGGCATGAACCAGCCCTCTCATTCTGATTGTGGCCCACCTTTACCCTCTGTACCAGGTAAGGGCCTCCTAGATTCTTAAGCAGCATTAAAGACTAAATATTAACTACTCTTAATTGCTGAACTTCAAGTCAACGTATCCTTTAACACACCCTGTCATCCTAATTTCCTTTCAGTACATACAGTGCTCATCACGCACACACTCACTGTTAAAGTAAAAATAACCAAGCCGTAAGGTCAATGTGAACTCAGTTTACTAAACTAGTCTTTAAACATTGAACAAGTTGCACAACAGAACACAAACGTGCATCTGTAGTCGGATTGTTCGCTGTAAATCTGCAGCTCTGTGAGGGCCACTCATCAATCAGACACACCTGCTGCTTTATCCAGGTGTAAAACTTAAAGCTGCAGGTGTGAGTGAAGCTTGGCAGCAGTGAGGCACAAAACTGAACGGCTGTTTCACTCTTAGAGCTAATGAATAAAACAAAGCAGCACCTGGTTTACTAGTTCAGCACACAGACCTGGTCCCAGTTCAGGTGAAGAGGAAAACCAAACCATGTTCTAAGATGATGATGCAACCATCCTTCTGCTGGTCCAGGTCTAACTCCAATGGGAGATGTCCAGGAGTAGGAAAATAAAAAAGATATAATCCAAAGGCTGTCAGTCCATAAACACTCCAGTTATGACTAGTCTCCACGTCCAGGCTGAATGATGGAGGCAGTCTCCTGAGCTGAACGAGCTCAACTGTGCAGCCTTCACTGAGCTAGTGAACGATACATGTTCAATGTTAAACTGTGTCAAAGTACAAAAACACAGAACTGCAGGACAAACTTCAAGCTGAAAGTCCCTTGTAGTCCCAGAAACCATGGAGCAAGTGTCCGTTGCACCACTGGGTTAACAATGAGCAAACCTGTTGCCTCTGCTGTGCTGCAGCTTCCATCACTCTCATCAAGTGCCCCTGACTCCTCACACTTCCTTTGGCTCTTCACAATAAAGCAGTCAAATATATATATAAATATATTAATAAATAACAAAATATTATACTTTAATTGCTTTTATCTTATGTTTGTGCATTTTAATCAGTTTTTAAGCCTTTTACAACATAAATGAAATACAATTTTAGCTATATTTACAACATATTTAACTTAAAAGTTTTTTAATTTTCTTTAAACTGTCACATAATTTTTGAATTCAATCAATGCACTGAAATATTTGGGTTACATGATCAAAAATTCATTCGGATTGAGCTGAATCAACAAAGAATAATCCAAATGGGGTGTTTACGACACATTTTTATTCCGAATGGCTATTTGATCAGATTATTTATGTCCATGTGAACATATTTACATGGAGTTCTGTGATTTTTGTTTTACTGACACAAACATCAGCAGCAACTGTTTAAAGAGCTTCATACGGTAAATGGACGGTAGTTACTGGTGTATATAGATCATTCTATATAGTCAAGATACTTAAAGCTCTTTACAACAAAATCTGTGCCCTAATTTACCTCCACACACACATTCATATATCTCTCTACTACACACACATTCATACATCTCTCTACTACACACACATTCATACATCACTCTATTACACACACATTCATACAGCACTCTACTACACACACATTCATACAGCTCTCTACTACACACATTCATACAGCACTCTACTACACACATTC